GTATAGTATAGTAGTAGGCACTAGAAAGGCGGTCGAGGGTCTTATTAATAAGCGGAAGTAGACAGCGGTCTTTAATAGTAACAGCATTAAGCCTACGATAGTCGATATATAGGCGTAGGCTACTATCCTTCTTTAGTACGAACAGGATAGGTATACTAGCAGGGCTGTTACTATACCGAATACGACTATTAGCTAGGTTTTCTTCTAGGTACTCACGTAATATAGCAAGCTCGCGCTTACTAAGGTTATAGAGTAGTCCAAAAGGAACCTCCTTGCCCTCTATAATATTAATCTTATAATCCGTCTCTTTAAACATAGGCAATATCGATGCTAGGTAGTGTTTGAACACATTAATATAGGTCTCTCGAATAGGTTCTAGTATACGCCTAAGTTGTTTAGGATCTATGCTATTAGGGGGCACTAGTTTATCGTTATTACTACCGAGCAGGTCGGCCGTCGGATTAGCTAGGGTTAGGTTGCTAATAAATAGGACCCTAATATTATTAGGGCACTCGCTAACATTAATGTGTTTAATGTCCTCTTTCCTAGCGATTCTAAATCGCTATTATTGACTACCTAAGTCTATAACTATAGTATAGTACTTAAGAACAGGGTTACTAATAACAATCTCAGATAGGAGGCTGTCTATATCTACTACGTAGGCAGTGAAGTTTAGCAGGCGCTTATTGCCGAGGTCGTCTCTTAGGGCTATATAGATATAGTAGGCTCCGTAGGTCAAGTGCCGAGCGTTATTAAACCAAGCAAGGGTTAGTAGGTTAGTCCTAGGCAGTTGTCGAAGGTCTAATTGCTTAGCTAGGCGATGGCTAATAAGGGCACTAACTGAATTTCCTAGATCTAGTGTAACCTTAGTCTTATAGTTAGTCCTATACGTACCCGATACGAGATAGGTACGTATAATAGCTAGTACAATGTCGATAGTTTTACGCCGCACGAGGCTAACAGTTAGTACGGCGCTTACTCTTTTTTCGAAGGTTGGCCTATAGGGGTAGCGTTAGCTGCTAAAAGGTGCTTTCGGTACTTAGCGGTAGCACGGTCGACTCGGGCCTAATCCCTAGGTTTGTCGCATTAGCCTAGTAGATAGCTAGTACTATCGCAATTGAAGCACTTCAATCTAGTTAGTAGACTGCCGTAGCTGTTATTGTTAGTTAAGCGGTTAGCGTTATAAGGATACGAGCCCCTTCTACGGCCCCTATCGCGGCCTCCTCTATATAGCCGGCGGCTACGGCCTCTTCTACGGTTATTATTACTATTCCTATTATTAGCATTATAGTTATAGTAGGAACCTTAGTTTCCTCCGCGGCTACTACGATTGCCGCGATTGGTACTAGCTAGTCGGATCCTCGATTCTAGTCGTTATTAGAGCTAAATAGCCCGTTCGGCTGTTTCTACTTCGACTATAAATTAAATGCGTGTTAGGTTGGCCTGTTCGAACACACGACGGCGGTCTAATTCAAGGACCAATTCCTATCGCAATTTAGGGCGTATTTCGGAAATCTAGATAGAGTCGGTCTTAGCTAGCAAATCGTCCTTAAGGGTCTTTAAATAGGCCTTAAATAAGCGAGCCGATTAATTAGTCTTTTGTTTAGCTCGAAGGTATTAGTCCTAAGCGTGTTGTTGCCTTAGTATAGGATTTCTAAGGGTGTCTAGTATAATAGTCTTATAGTCTTGCTACTAAATAGCGGTCTAATTAGTAAGGGAGTCGAAATGGTTATCCTAGGTGCGTTTTAGGTCTCTATTAATATATTGCATAGCATAGACGACTAGCGAATAGTCGTCTAGTAGGGCCCTTAGTGCATTCCGCTAGTTCAATTCACAATTATATATGTGATTATTGTACTGCTTGCGGCTAGAGCTATTAAATACGGTATAGTCTTTAAGCTTAGCATCCTTCTTTTAAATAGAAGGTACTGCTACTAGTTCTAGTCTAGCAGTAGTTGTTAGGGCTTCCTGTAGGCGGCGAATCTCGAGGAGATTATCCTTTAGCTATTGTTCTTAACGTAGGGTAGTAAGCCTGTTTTAGGTAGCTTCTTAGAGTCTCCCTACTAGTTAGGGGCTAAAGGCTAGTTAGCTATATCGACGGTTAACAATATTGTTAAGAATGTCGTCGACAGGCAATTCTAGGTCGTTACCTAGAACTATAGGTTCTTCGGCAGGCCTAGTAGTAGGCTCTTTAGCAGGCACCTTAGCAGGTGCTTTAGCAGGCACTTTAGTAGGTACTGTGCTACTAGCATTGTTATTGCTAGCGCTGCTAGCGGCAGCACGGTTGTTGTTGCTTCGTAATAAGCCGGCTATTGTAATAGGGGGTAATACTAATAATATATTATTAGCCCCTAAGATACGGATGTAGCGGAATTAGTAAATATCGGTCTAGTGTGCTTGACTTAGTATAATAGGCCGTATAGAAGGCCTTGCTTAATGATTAGTACGGTTGTTTCGATAGAATAGTACGTATAGGTCCCGTTCTTCGGGCGCAATATAGTTAAATCGATAGTTTTCGTAGCTATACCGCTAAAAGCTTGAAATAAGGACTATCTAGCTACTGCCCTTAAAGGGTAGATCGAATACTATATAAGAAGGGTTATGTTAGCAGGTAGATAGGGTGGTAGTGAATCAGTTTAGTATTCGATAGAGCTCTAGGAGGAGAGGGAGAAAGGTAGGAGAGTTGGCCTAACGCTAAGCACTAAGCCCTGCCTAAGGCATTAAGACCCTAGCTTTACTCGGCCTAGTTACATGCCAATTACGTATAGCCTCTTTGGCCCTAACAGTTTATATCTACCCTTAAGTCCCTTACTGCCTCTACGAGCTAGTTAACCTTAGCTATAAGTAGACTAATATTAAACTACTTCTTAAGTAGACTTAGCGGTTTAATTAGTGCTAGAAGTGTATCTTTACTAAGCTTATAGCGACTTAGTCGACGGCGTATACGAGATAACCGAGACTCGGTTATTAGTAGCTAATTAGTTATTAGAAGGTCTTAATCTACGGTCTATTATCTATATACCTATCTCGGTAGCGTGCTTAGCGCCTCTATTATATATGCCTTCTTCTATACCTTCTTCTATACCTTCTATACCTTTACTTGCTAAGGTTTACTATAAAACCTTTACTAGGGGACGACTCGTAAAGGTGTCGGCTTCTTAACCCTAAGCTCTACTATAGCTAAATCCGAGACCTAATCGGACATCTTTGCTATTCGAGGGGCGATATAAGTTTGTATAGGGCTATACTATATTTAGCATTAGAAGTAGAACCCGACAAGAGTAGAGCTAGGGTAGGTATTCGACGGAGTTAACTATAGAGGCAGTTAAAGGGATAGGCAGCAGGATTAGCCCTATTCGTACGTCGTATATAGTATATATAGTAAGTACCGTCGTAGCCGTATACTATATACAACTGCGCGCCGCGCGACTAGAGATATTAATATATAGTATACTTAACTTTCGGGCTTACAAATACGGCATATGCCCTATAAACACACACGAGATATAGATTAATTAGCTATAGGCGGGCGGCAGGCCTATACTAAATACGATTTATTATAGAGGACATCTACCCTCTAGTATAGTTATCCGCTATATCTAGCTATATTAACCGCTATATTTATAAGGAAGGACCTTAGAATAGCTATATATACCGTAATATTATAGTATATATAGGCCTTATAATATTATATCTAATATCTCTACGCGTAACTAGTAGGTACCTTCTCGTAGTATATAGTATAAGTAGCTATATATTAGTAACGTAGTAAAACTAAGACCTATCTCTAGACTCTAGATATAGCGCCTAGCGTCGCTATCTTCTAGCCTCTTTCTAGTCTAAGGCCTATCGATAACGCGATAATACGATAATAGCTTTATATACCGACGACGACTAATAATAATAATAACGACGATATAGATTAATAATAAATATATCGGTCCTTATATAGTAGTAGAAGGCGCCCGCTACTTTTAGATATAATATAACGCGTTTTAGATACTATACTACGACCGGCTCTAGTATAATATCTATATAATAATAATATTCTTCGAAATCGGATATCTAGAGATAAGAAGAAGGCGACCGGATCCTAGTAACTATATATAACGCCTTTAGTAGATACTAATAAATCTCCTATTTCTCGCTTATAGCGATAGATCTACTTGCGATAGATAAGGCTAGTCTAGGTTACTACTTAGTATAACGAAGGCGAGGCTATTTGTATTACCCTAGGCTAGGTTAGATCGATATTCGGAATAAAATATACTTAGGTCTTTAGAGAGACTATAAGGCGACTCTAAGGAGGATTTTAGATAATATTTACTTCCTATATTTAGGATATTTATAGAGTTGTTACTATTCCACGTCTTATACGACACTTCTATAGACCAGAGTCTAGTATAGCGTTAAATGCGATAGCTAGCGGTTACCGAGCCGCACTCGGATTAGCCGAGGAACGGACTATAAATGGAATTAATAACAACACACAACCACGCTGTCCAACGCGACGTTGCGTCGGAAGACGAAAGCAATATGCTGTTGCATGGCGGCGATATGCTCATCTTGGGAACTTTCTCGGCTAACGTGAATCCCCGTTGCCCCCTCCCGAGGCCATCGAAAGACTTTCCATTTTGTGAACAGGGTCGTGATAAGAAAAGAACGACCAACAAAGGTCGTATTTGAACCTGATGGTTTCGACGGCTCGAGAAGCGGGCTATGCTTACAACACTCGCTGTAATCAGCCCAAGATAGCATTTTAGCCTCATCTCACTTCTGCTGCGACGACGACTACTACTAGCGATCTTTGCCTTTCGAGCCTGTTCGGGCCGAGAACGAGAGACGAGCAGTGCGTGCATACCAGACGTTTCAGGGAAAGAGACCGGGTTGGATCCGCACAATGAGCGTGGTATCATAAATCGCGTACAATCACGAGTCACCCCAAACTAATTACAGAAAGGACTGTGTTACCCTGATGTCGCATAGCCTCGTTGACATCGTCATGTGTAAAGGCCTCTGCCAGCTGCAAGCCTCACAAAATCCCAAGGAACGTTCTCGCCTACCAAGCAGCGGATCATCTCCACGATTGTCCAAGAGATATAGTCTGAGCACGGGTATGAAGCCCAGCCCAGAGAATCGGCCACCGAGACGGAGTCGCCATTACCCTTGATACCGTTCGACAGATCCACAAAGATCTTGCCAGACCGATTGGACTGCTCTCGCGGACTTCTGCTCAAGTGTTTCAATACGGGAATCGCAGCCACGGATTTCTCTGCTGGTAAAGCCGAGATGACGGCGAAAGGCTGCTCGATATTATTCAAGTCTATAAGACCGAGCAGTTGCTGGTGACCGCTGGCCTGGAATCCAATGGTGAATATCAGTCCGATGTCTAGGCTGGTCAATGCGTATATTGCTGCAGCTGCCGATGCTTCTGTATTCGCAATGACAACAGCCGCTCTCCCCGAGTAGGCACTTGGTACGAAGTCTCTCGTCAATGTGGCTCTGACACCCTTCCACGTCACATTATCGGCAAGGAGTGTTTTCGTTCCATTGCTGGTCCGAAGAGCGATTGTATCTACTTGACCGATGGCTGATGCTGCTTCTGTAAGCGTGGGTAAGTAAGGCGCTTCGTCGACTGCTTGTGGGGGATTGATATAAGCACCACCGAAGCGGGACCTGGTGATGATTGACTCAATCGACCCACAGGGCTCGTGTTCGACGGTGAGCAGTCGATGGGGCAGACTGAGCTCATTGAGGCATTTTTCGAAGAACATAGCGTGTCCGTTGGTTCTGACGTGCCCAATTGCATACATGTCGAGCTGCGACATCTGTCCCATGGAATGCAGCATCGAATTGATCTCGGCCGCGCTCAGCTGGCCCGGCGCTGCGATCATAGGGAGTAGTGGATGTGTGATCGGTGTGAACACCTTGTTCAAAGTTCGTGATAGTTGTCCCACCGAGCCCATGTTCAGTCCTGACAATGGAGGATGGGAATACGAGTTCTGGATAGTTGAGCGAAAGTGCTCTAGCTCGTAGTTATCTTCCATGGTGTTCACCAGCGCGATCATCTTCACGATATCGCCATAGACGGCGGCCTCTTTGAACAGCCGATGAGCGTCTGGTGAAGTCCATGTCCACCGGCCAGAGAAATCATGCCTGCAGCCAGATCAGCACAAATTCTATGAGGCTTATTCAAGAGAAGCACTGCACTTACCAGGCGGAAATTATCTTGCTATTGCCTTTCTCCGCTGCGAGTTTGCGTCGCATGTCTTCGGGCAGCCATAGTTCAACATCGATGTATTCGCAACCCCATTGTATTGCTTTGTAGAGATACGTGTAGTATAAGCCGGGATCATCCATCGGAAAACGTCCGTTTTCTTTCGTACTTCTAGTGGTGAATATGATGGGAAGCTCTGTCCGTTGACGCAGGAGCATGACCTGTTCGCCAACGTATTTCAGGCTAGGTACGGATCCGAACTCTTTCTCGTTGGATGGATCTCTCAAAAGGTCCACGCGTAACTCGACGGAGTCAGCTCCAACTGAAAGAATATCAAGATTGGGCAACGCTGCGCGGATGTCGGGAAAGGTGGTGGACAGCAACGTGGTTCGCTGTTTCCTCCTCAAGTCTTCGTGGGGCTTGTTCTGTCCAAGCACGAATCCAAGGAATCTGGCCATGTCTCGCCGAATGGATGTGGCCTTGGTGTAAAGGTATTCATAGTCGCAAAAAGAAGTGAAATATTCGTGCCTCCAGTCCTGCAAATCGATGCAATGAGTCGTAATGAGTGTCCTTTGTATGTTTCGCAAAGACTCCTCCGGCGTCGGAATCAAGTCATTCTCTAGCCCAAGCACAGCTTCATCCGACCACGCAGGAGCACCATCTAGTCGGTCGAGGAGACGATATGTATGCCCCAAGACGTCTGCAACGACGCGCGTGATCCCTTCCTGGCCCTTGTCGAAGATGATGAGCAGTCGCGGAGGCTCGTTATGGATGATTTCGTCAATCTTCATAACTCCATTGGCTTTGGTCATGGCAGCAGGCATAGGACCTACCGTCATGGACAAGAAAGTAGTAAATTGTCTGCCTTCGCGACTGCGGGTCACCGTCACCGGATGGAAATGTCACTGGCGCCTGCGTGCCGTGAGTATGCGGTGCGGTGCGGTGCGGATGCATGCATTGTGTGCTGGATAGGGGATGTACGCACCGTGGCCTAGATGGGTGCTATGCGATGGTCGAATAAGCTGTGCTGCCACCAACCACCTGCAACTCATTGCGTGCTGGGTCCGCACTGTTTCCACGCCGGTGGAACAGAGGCGGAAGCAGTGTGATATACAAACCGGCCGCCGTCTAATTGCACCGAGACGAACACGGTATCTGAAGTGTGGATAAGGGAAATGTTTGATGTGTTTGGTGTGCTCCCACAAGCGACGCAAATTCATGCTGCGAAGTTTGAACAACATGCATCACCGCTTGGCTGGCGGAAGCTTGACGCCGGTTAAACAGGAGCCTCACAGGGCCTCACAGGCGGACGCAGTCCACGCCGAGGATAATTAAAAGTGCACGAATCAGAGCAGGTCACGTGATGAGCCTCAACCCCGACACGAGCAGACGACGTCCAGCCACACCGAGACATGCTGAACAAACCTACGGTCGTTGAGTTGTGAGATCAGGCTGTATTATGCTTGCATGACAGCCCTATAGGCTGTCCTGGTGACCAAATGTCAATTCCAAACAATTCTCACGGTGCCAGTCCAGCTTGGTATCATTCGCCTCGCCTCGCCTCGTACTATGTGCAGACAGACAGAAGCCAAAACGACAAAACACATTTCCATTGCTTATCCACGCGCGTCTTCCACAAGCAGTTGGCAAGCCAACAAAGGTCAAACAAGAAAATAATCTGTAAATGAACAAAGCTACAGAGAAGTGCCAGGTCATCCAGACCCCGGCTTTCCAATCCAAAAAATTGCAACTCAAAACAATAGGGAATCTTCGGCAGCGCTTAACCGTCATCAAGTCGTGAAGAGATGCTGCGACATGTGGTATCTTTGCAATAATCCTGTTCTCTCTCAAAGACCGGGTCTACTCTAGTAGCTCTGTGGTGCTTAGTAGCCGGCTGGCTTGCTTGGGATTGGAGTCACATATGCGGTGCTGACTGCAGCTGCTGGTGAGCTCGTCGACGATGGAGCGTAGCTGTATGCTGGTGCTGTTGCGCTGGATACTGGTGCAACAGGAGTGCTTGAGCTGCTTGGGCCGTAGCCGGGAGCGTAGATCTTGCTGCTTGAGCTGGAAACTGGGCTTCCCTCAGTGCTGGAGCTGGAGCTTGGCTTTGGGTATGCTGCTGGGGCAGTCCCGCTTGAAGTGGTCATTGCTGCGGCTGGGGTCGTGCTTGAGCTGGAGCTCTTGCTTGGGTATGGGTACGGAGCTGGTGCAGTACCGCTGGAAGATGACACTGGAGATCCCTCAGTCGAGCTGGAGCTGGAAGAGCTCTGGCTTGGGTACGATGCTGGCTTGGTGTAGGAAGTTGCAAAACCAGTGCTGCTAGCGTATCCGGAAGATGGGCCCCAGGAGTTAGTTGGGTACCATGCCTTAGAGCTGGACTGAATTGGGACCACAGAGTTGGTAGAGGAGACAGCAGCAGAGCTGGTGCTTGCTGGGACGGTAATGTAGACGGTCTCTTTCTCGGTTACGGTGACGGTGGTTGGAGCGCAAGCCTCGCCAGCGCTGACTGGAGTAGAAGCGCTGCCTGCGCTGCCTTGGGTGCTCTTGGCTGGGTAGACAGTGACGTAGTTGGTGATGGTAGAGGTAGACTTGATGGTAGTGTATGCAGTGCTCTCTGGCTTGTAGCCGCCTGGAGCAGAGCCAGTTGGCTGAGCCTCAGAAGTGGCTGGCTTGGTGGCGTAAGCGGTCTTTCAAGATGTTAGCGAAGTCATCACCGGAAAGCATTGCACAAGACTTACGACGGTGACGTAGAGAGTCGAGGTGGATTGAATGGTGGTGGTGACAACGGTAGCGGATGAACCGTGTCCGAGAGTGTAGGTAAGAGTGTTGTTGTAGACAACAGTCGAGGCAGAGTAGCCGGATGGGACTGGCTTGCTCTGGCTTGGGTAGGATGGCACGCCGGTGCTGATTGGAGCGACTGGGCTGCTAGAGCTCTTGCTGCCGTAGGACGGGACCTCGGCGGTTGACTCTGGCGAGTATGGAGTGGAGCTAGCCTTGGAGTAGGAGGCAGAGATCTTCGAAGCCTCAGACTCGGGGCAGACGGTCGTGAAAACCTCCTCGGTCTTGGTAACGTAGGTCTCAGTGGCCTTCTCAGCTGGGCAGTCAGTGACGGTTGGCGCACAGCTGGTGATGGTGATCTCCTTGGTGCTGGTCAAGGTAACAGTGGTGTCCTTGCTTGGGTAAGATCCAGTGCCAGTTGGGCCAATTGGGTAGCTGCTGCTGGAAGATCCAGTGCCGTAGAATGGGATGCTCTTAGAGCTCGAGATTGGATATGGAAGACTGCTGCTGCTGCTGCTGCTTGAGCTGGAAGAGCTCCCATATCCTGGTGGGTACGCGCCAGCTGTGGAGATTGGCGAAACTGGAGTAGAGCTGCTGGGGCTGGAGCTGGAAGAGCCGCCGTACCCTGGTACAGATGGCACAGAGGAAGTCGAGATTGGCGAGTATGGCGTGCTCGAGGAAGACGAGCTGGATGGCGCGCTGTAGGCTGGAGCAGCTAGAGCAGATGAGGTCGAGATTGGCGAGTCTAGCGTGCTCGAGGAAGAAGATGGAGCGCTGTAGGCCGGTGCTACTGGAGCACTGCTTGAAGAAGAGACACCGCCGTAACCTGGCGCGACTGGGGCGCTGCTCGATGCCTGGACTGGCGCAGCAGAGGTGGAATTGGAATCATCGCCGTATCCAGCAGGCTGGCCATATGCTGCTGGTGAAGTGGCAGACGCGCCAGCCACGAGGGCGGCGAAGAAGATCTTGCTGTACATGTCTGATCGGTTGCGAATCGGATCTTTCGAATGGTGTCTGTTTGCTAATGGGGATCGTGGTCGTGAATGTGAATAATTGGCGAGAAGTCAATTCTGCCGACTGAACGCAACACGCAAAAATGAGTGACTGAAGTGCTAAAGAGCGGAAGTGTCTACGAGAGACGAAAGAGGATGTGCGTGGCAAACAGAAGACGTTGGTGAAGAAGGCGGAAAGCACCAGGGACTGTTGTATGGGGAGCAGGTCGACAAAAGAATGGCGTGGCGGCTTGGTGCCCCTGTCATCGATTCATGCACAGTCTCATCCTGCCGCAATTTAGGAGAATCAACGGTCACAAAGCTAATCTGGCCCAAGTGTCGATGTCCAGGTATGATTGGCCTGTGCCTGGCATAAGCGGAAGAGAGGCTGAGCCAAACGGATTCACCTTCGACACAAATGGGGGCCCGGGGGCAGCCGCTGCAGGTACCGTGCGTGAAGTGAGCCTCTCCGGGGCGAGTGTGGGTGCATATTGCTCCTCCAATTCGCTGGCTGGCTGGCAGCAGCTCCATCATCGCATATTGATGGTCATAACTTCACTCGGTGACTTGGCGGGCGATAGGCTGCTGGCAAAGTCGGCAATTTCGCGTGGGCGTAGCGCAGGACTGCATTCGTATCATTCGCACCCTGGATGGCGATCGGAATGGCGCTATTGCACAAGTCCTGCGGTGAACAGCAGTGAGCAGTGAGCAGGGAGCAGTGATGAGCAGTGAGCAGTGGCACAGAGCAGTGAGCAGTGGCACAGAGCAGCGTGCCGCGCACGCTTGCCTGCAGTGATACATTGCCGGAATACCCCATTCTCGCCTCCCCCTTTGCCACGAGGTCGCATTATTTGTTCTAGTCGGGCGTGTTTCATGCTAATTCGAGCGCGCTCTCTAGCACTGCTTAGCGTGGGATCGTGGGCTCTCGGCCTCGGCTTCATCTCCAACACGGATGCGTGCCTGAGGTTCGGCTGCACATGATCATTGATGATGGTATGGAGGGGAGGCTATCCCTTTACTGACTATACCGGTTATGCTTGGCGAACATAAGTGGAGCAGAAAAGGTGGTTAATTGTGTGCACAGACAGAATTTGTACGAGCGCACAGGCAAAACTGGGGCAACTTGCATGAACGATCTTGTTCGTCGAGTTTTGAAGGGGATGGACGACGTCTCGCAGACCCTGGCGCGCGCGCGGAAGAAACTCTCGGATCTGGCACACCAAATCCTCAGGGTTGTACGCCAGACGCTGACGCAATGAGCATAACAGCCCGCAAATATCTGCGCATCGTCAGACACTTGGTCCAGGAGATCCCAACCCGCGGCCCCATGCAGGCAAGCCAGGAACCACGCAAGCAGCTGTGATACACGTGAACTCCTCTTCAGGACCTGGATCGAGCGAGGTCTGAGTGCTGACGTTCATTCAACCCTCCACGATTCCCACGAAAGCTTGAAACTCCTGCCGAGCACGAACTCACTCACTCGTGCGCGCCATTGAGCCATCCTGTGACAACAAGGATGTTCCAAAGACCTTCGTCATTACGCGCATCACGTCGCTGATCAAATATAGCCTTAATGTCTCTCGCAATCCTACCAAATGTCCTGACACCGCGAAGTACATTGCAGGCTTACAACAATGACCCAAGCTCCGACGTGAGGCCAGAACCTGAGGCCGATTTTCGGTACTTAGAACACCAGTCGACTCAAGAAATATGCAGTGCGGCCATCGCCTCGCTTGTCGAGACAGCATTTTCAAAATTTACTGTCAAAGACTGAGACACTATTGCATCAAGCGAGCATTCGTTTGGTCCTTGGCATTGAAGACTGAGCCGCCCTGCTACTGGCTTTGCTCAGAGTCCATCCGCATTGGGGGAGGTTTGGAAGATTTGCGATAGTCTTGACGACTTGCTGTGTGAGCACTGTGAGCACAAGCGACTTCGACACGTTGCATCAATTACCACGATGATCACACTACCTGAGACTCCTAATACGTTCCATTCGTATTGCGTCAACATGGTCGACACCTCTGTCCGCAATTATGATCTAGACATAGGTCGCGATGATGTGCACCCCTTAGCGTAGAAGGGAGACATGACTTCCCCCGTCTCCGTCACCGGCATATACTGAGAGATGTGTCAGCATGCCATGCTCGCAGTGCACAGCTTCCTCCGCTGCTTCGAAGCAAACTACATGGACAGAGAGGACAATGCTCAGATGCAGCACATTTCTCAGTCAGAGCAATGTGTCCACCGCAACGACACCAAAGAAGGAGCACATAGTCGGAGAGTGCGTACTATTTGCTTTCTTGCCCATAGCGATGCTGCGATACCCTTTCTGTGAGCCGGCGTGGCTGGCATGGTGGGATGGGGAACTGCAGCGTTGGTTCAATGTCTCGATTAGAATATTGTTGGCTTGCGCAATGTGATCTTACCACTTTATTCTACTAATACAAGTCCGCCCGAGGGTTGAATGCGCGACGATTTCCTTCCCAATGCTCACTCTTCCAGGGTCAACGGCGGAACCTCCTACTGTCCACCAGCGAGCGTCACCTTGATAGCCTCGATCTGCTCCAATACCGCACTCTTGCTTGTGCCGCCCTTGGCAGAGCGCATCTCAACACTCTTCTGGTAATCAAAAACGCCCAGCACATCCTTCTCGAACCTGCCGTCGACGCCCTTCAATTGCTCGAACGTCAGCGTATCCATGGGCTTGCCCTCGCTTTCAGCAAGAGCCACAACACGGCCAGAGATGTGGTGTGTCTCTCGGAAAGGCACACCCTTGCGAACGAGATAGTCTGCGAGGTCTGTAGCAAGCATGTCTGGAGAAAGCGACTTGAGCATGTTCTCTGGGTAGATCGAGAGTGTCGAGAGCACACCAGTAGCTATCTGGACGCTGTCGCCAACAGTCTTGATGTGGTCAAGCAGAGGCTCGACAGACTCCTGCAAATCTTTGTTATATGTCGACGGGATGCCCTTCACGCTCATCATGAGTCCGGTCATGTGGCCGAAGGCACGTCCAGACTTGCCGCGAATCAGTTCGAGTGAGTCAGGGTTTTTCTTCTGAGGCATAAGAGATGATCCCGTGGAGTATGTATCTGCGAGCTTGATAAAGGCAAATTCGCCTGTTGAGTAGATGATGAGGTCCTCGGCCCATCGTGAAAGATGGGTCATAAGCATCGTGCCCCATTGCATTGTTTCAATGACGAAGTCGCGGTCACCAACACCTGCCATTGAGTTCATGATGAGACCATCGAAGCCAAGCTCTTTGGCCATAGCATCGCGATCGATGTTGAATGGGTTGCCTGCGAGAGCACCACAGCCCAGTGGTGATTTGTTGATGCGAGCCTGCACTTCTCGTAATCTCTGGAGATCCGATGCAAAGAAAGAGCCGTAAAGCAGCATCCAGTGACTCCACCGGATCGGCTGAGCTCGCTGAAGATGAGTGTAGCCGGGCATGACGTGTTCGATCTCCTTCTCGGCACGAGCAGCAATGACTTTCAAGAAAGCGATGAGGTGACGCTCAAGAATCTCCAGCTGGTCGCGGAGCCATAGTCGCATGTCAGTCGCAACTTGGTCGTTTCGGCTGCGTCCAGTGTGAAGCTTGCCAGCGACGTCCTTGCCAATGATCTCGGCCAGCCGTCTCTCGTTGGCAGTGTGGATGTCCTCGTCCACGCCGGGGTGGATTTCAAACTTATTCTCCTGCCATTCCTGGAGTACTTGCTTGAAGCCACGCTCGATTTCCGAGAACTCATGTTCGGTGAGAAGACCACTGTTTTTGTTCGCTCTGGCATATGCTATGCTTCCTCGAATGTCTTGCGAATAGAACACTCTGTCGAAGTAGATGGATTCTGCTAAGTATCAGTATGGTGGGAGTCGGTAGACATACCAGGGAAGTATGTATATATCGATCTGTAACGTTGATTGCTCACATAGAGCAATTGTACTTACCATTGTATTGCACCATGATAGGGTCAGTGCCGCCGGTGAATCGGCCTCCCCACAGCTTTCCCGCCGCCGGAGCATTGCCGTTTGAAGTCATTCTCGCGATCTATTACGACACTCTGGCTTGAGTTGTAGAGTTGTGGTCTAGTCTATAGAGTGCCAATGGCTAGGAGATTGATCGGAAGAGTCACGGTTCCTGCCTCCAGCCAAAATTTTAGGAGAGCGATAGCAGGGGTGTCTTTCGCTTATCGTGCGCTAGAATAACCATGTTTGTCCACTTTGCTTTACTGGCGCGTCCCCAGCTTCCGCTTCCACTACCAGGTATTCACTCGACACAACACCTCTAGGAGCGCTGACTGCAGGTCAGTCAGGCAATCGCCGACCTCATACACGACATTGAAACGGGCATATCCCAATATGGCTGCGAATGGCTCCAAAAATGTATACACCCGCCGGCTAGTGGCCGAAGCCAGTGCTAAAGCATGCTGGATCTGCTTCAAACCCAGCAGCACTGTGCTCATCAACGAAGATCAAGACTTCTTCTACATATGCCCTGGTCATTTGACGGATCCCAAGTTCGCGACTGCGAAAGATGCTGAAGATCTGGCCAAGAAAAAGAAGGACGAGGAGATTGAGAAGGAAATCGAGGCCGTGAAGAAGGAATTCGCGGAGAAGATGCGCAAAAAGATGGACCGACGACGGCAGAAAGAATTTGAGAAGGCCGGCAAGAAGCCGGAAGATGAGAAGAAGAAAGATGAGGAGGAAGAGAGGAAGCTGGAGAAAGAGCAAGACGAAAGGCTGAAGGAGCTGGAAAAGAAGAAAGACGCTGAGAAGGCAAAGGTCGAAGGCCCGAGGATCTTTGAGCTTCACAAGAGCTTCTATCAGATGCGACAGCAGCGGAAGGCACAGGCTGCGGCCGCGAAGAGACAGCAAGAACGCATGAGGCAGCCGAACCTGTTTCCCAGCGTGCCCACAGAGCTTCCAAAAGGACCTTGAGCGATCAAACTGCCTCGGCTATACACCGAGCATACACTACAATCTCATTGCGCTCTGAGCAATGATGCAAGGAGCAGGCTGAGCCTGAATGCGTTTCCGTTTGAGACTTTTTATCTGACATTGGTGTCCTTCACTGAGCGCTGTTCAGTGGTCTCTTGCGGAGTCTCTTGGCGCCGGCTTACAACCGAGCTGAAGTCCTCGCGAACATGAGAGCATATCCATCCCGCGGAGAGGGGTTCTTAGACGACATCAGTGCAGTACAATGCTTCATTTGTCAGTCGAGCGAAGGAGAAGCATCTGACCTTGACCCACATATTCGGTATCGTCTAATGGTGCGGACAGCGCGAAAGTGGGATACGACGCTGAAAGCCAGGGTCGACGTCTCACCGTCACATCGACAAACGTTCACCCACCACGAACTACCAGCTTCACGATCCTGCGATACGCGACAGGAGCTCTGTTGTCGTCAATCAAGTCTTGGCGGTAGCTTATAGCACCACTGTTAACGACGGGCCGTTGGCACAACATCGTCAGCACGTCTCACTGTCTTATGCAGTCAGCATGGCCCCTTTGCTCACTAGCCACACTTGCATCCTTTCCGCTCAGCTGCAAATTGTGACATCGCTAGATCTTCGCTCTAACTTCGATGTCCGATGCACTTTAGCGAAGAATGCGGTAGCATGTGACAAGGTCGCTCGCGCGGCTTATACGATGCAGCGTTGGCAACAGCGGGCCCTCCGGCGTGACCTATTGCGTTCGGACTTTCGCGAGATGAGTGCCCTGGTACACCTAGAGTGACTCGAGGTCTCATCGTATGGCTGCCAGGATCGTGGTCAATATCAGAGTGACTACTCTGATGCCGGTATATCACGTGGTGAGCTGTGCTTCATCTTCAGTTGTATTCGCTTTGTGTGGTTAACCATGCCATTGTTGGCCAAGGGTTGTAGCGACATAGCCTCAACGATGCGATTCTTTCCAGGCTTTCACGCACAAAGATATTTGGTGAACGTCTTTGATAGTCGAACAATGGCACTGCTCGTGAATGGCTTTCGACGGAAAGTGAACAAGGCTTCAAAGGCTACAAAATGCGCTTCAACGGCAGATTTCATCTTCTTTTAAAAGCGGCACGCCCTGAATCCTGTCTTCTACTGCGTGACCAGAATCTAGAAACAAGATACCTCCTCACTCCATTCCCACGAATTATCGTATCCGGACGACTCGAGGGCATACCTGAAACGCGCGCAGAGCCTAAGCCACATGGGGACAGACATGAGCAAGAACGGACAACAAACTACTAACATGAATCTGCAGGAGCTCCCTACAGAGATAGTCGAGAGAATAGCTGGAAACCTGGACATCGTTTCTCTCGGCGCCTTCCGGGCCGCTAGCAGGACTATTCAAGCAAAGACAACTAAGACTTTCGCCGAAACCGTTGTCCCATACCACACACTCACGGTTCCTCTGACACTACCCGGCTTGCAAGCGGCTTTGAACGCACTTCGCTTCGATGACATCGCAGAGCAGGCTCTCCATGTTGATTTTAGGGGCAAGTTCCATCTCAACGGTCGTCCAAAAGGCCTAGTTGACCGTGAAAGGTTCACGCAGCTACTGAGAAAATTGTTCGAACGACTTCAGTCTCTGCAATCTGTCGAGATTCACTTTTACGCTCGCGGGAATTTTCAGGGACCTTTAGAAGTCGTGGCTGCCTTGATCGAACAGCCTCTACCTCGACTACACTCGCTGAAGCTCAATCACTTCGCAATCCCTATCGCACGCCTGACAGACCTTCTCAATACATACAAACCGACCCTCAGGCATGTCTTATTGTCGGAACTGTGTGCATGTGACGGCTCCGGCGAATTTAGCAGGGCGACTTTGCTTGCACACATACGAGACAATATGAGCTTAAACAGCTTGCGCATTGATCATGCCAATGGCGCCCCACAGCCATATCGATCTCTTCTCCTTGAGCGCAACCCAAGGCACTTCACAAGAGTCAATCGTGCTATGAGAGATCCTGACACGAGAGAAATCTCGCATTACACTTTCACAACAGCCCAGACCAATATGTTTGGGAAGCGCGCGGTGACGCTCGGCCTCAATCAGTGTCTTCGGGAATTTGGGAGCAAGCTGTACGACCCAAAACTTCCAGAGAAGTGAGTCTTTTGACGCACTCCTCCTTGCTAATCAACTTCAGATGGTAAGGTAGGTGGTAGAATGCACAGAATTTGCTTCTCCTGGCGGAGTCGGCGATCTGATCACTTTCCGAGAAGGAACTGAGGGATCGGAGAAGGAAGTACATTTTGGTAAGGGAGGTTTGCTCGTCAGTTCCTGCATAGTGTTTCTTAGTGTCGCCGTTCATCGCAAAATACAACCACCGATCCATCCATCGCATCTTTATGATTCCTGCTGTGCTCCTGCTAGCAAGCGCCATACACTACTAACGTTTCCTCCATCGAATCCTCTCCAAATGCAGCATCGAGTTCGACTGACGACCAGGTTTGTACAGAGCCATATAGCTAAAGAGTTCGCAGTAACCTTGGAAGAAACCTTACCGTGATGAGATTCCAGCTCAACAAAGAGGAACTGGGTACAACGCCAGCTAGATATTCTTCAACATGAAGACTTTGCGAGAAGGGGCGCTATTGATACAATACAGCCTGAAATTTGGTTCAATTCTTCAGCCTAGCTCCTCCCATCTCAACCAGACTTTCATCTCCCTTCTTCGCAGATGTAAGAAATAGCATCAAGCAGCCACCACAAACTCCGAACAGTGATGTTCAACTAACGGCACTCCGCATGTCGATCCGGTAGGTAGGCAATACTCCACTCTTTCCGTGACACACGGGAATTCATTTCTTCAGGTTTCATGTCAAGATTTTCAAACGAAGCGTTGAGTGAGAGAACGAGCCGCGTCTGCATTCGAAGCATATGAACCACGGCCTGGTTCTTCAGGTCTCAGGTGCTGTCATCTCCGTCCTGCGTAGGAGACCGTATCTCTTCAGGGGCGTATCGGAACTGGTATGCTTGGTAACTATGCACTGTAGGGTCGTCCCGCTTGCCTCACTGGAGCCCAGTGAAGTGGATTAATGGAGCTTCAATCGCAATCCCAAAACTCGCATCTAGTGAGAAGTGTGCTGTGATGTTGCAGTGGACAGTCAAAGGTTGTCTTGATCTATTTGAATGAATCTTGAATTATAAACCGACTGCAGATCTTTTGTAGTTTGCAGTAATTTTGAAAAAGGTAATTTGCCGTCAAGGCCGACCGGCAACTAGCCTCCGCCTTATAGGGCTCAAAGGATGGCAGTGTACTGTACCAAGGATCTTTTCAAGTCATGGTCTCTCTAGTAAACCAAGATTTGCTAAACGTCCGATCCAGCAGGTGGCAGCGGTGAAGATTGGAAACCACGTTCTTGATGCGTTCGAGACACGGCACGGCAAGCTGCAATCTCATGATCCGCGTGGTTGGTGTATGTACGTACATGTACAAACGGCAGTACCAGCTCTCGCCGCTCGGCTAAGCTGGAAATCGTACTCCCATACTTCCAAGAATAGTGCAAGCTGAGAGATGCAGGGCAAAGAACACAGCTTCTCTGTGTGTGCGGATCTGATGTTAGGCGTCCTATTTGCCAATCCCCTTTCAAGTTCAGCTGTTGGCATTGCGTTAGTGATCTGCGACGCTCGTCGCACGCCCCCATTATTTCTTTCAGCTTTCTTGGCTTTGCAACAAACCGGTTACAATTTGATGTTGCCTCAGTACAGCAAGATTAGGTGGACCAAAAGTACTGTAAAGAAGTCAGAAAGATCTCCAAGCACGTTGTGCATGACCTATCCTGAAATGCCACCTGCGATGGCGCTTGACCCTAGCTCGTTAATGCTGACATCCCCGTCGAGCCTTGTCTGCTGACGTAAAGACACGGCTGTAATCACATGCCCCTAGGACTGCTCACCGTTTGCTTCTAGGTAGAGCCTGATCTCTGAAAGAGCCATGTCAGCCCTAAGATCAGATGTGCTACAGTGCGTCGCGTCGGCCGTGGGCTTTAACAGAGAGTATTAGACACGGGTAATATCGGGGTACAAAAGCACGACGGCTCGCACTTGACGGGATGAAGCTCCTCCATCCTTCCCGAGATAGCTAGATTCGTACTCCCGTCGTATGGCGGGGCATTGTGGATCAACAGTGCACGATGGTCATGCAGAACAGTATTTCCGTTCTAAGATTGACTGCCAAATGCCAGCTCTCGTGCGTTGGTTGAAGACAAATCTTGCCAACGAGCTCCTTTGATCCGTTCCATAGTCATAAGGCTGGTCGAAGCCAGTGATTAGACCGCAGGTTACTTAACTACTGCAGTATGCATTAGTCGCACATGCTATGCGGCCGCCGTCAACATGATGTAGGCGAACTTGCTTTCGCCGTGATTTTTTCCGTGCCTCCCAAAAGTAGTCGGGACAAGGTCTAACCCAACGCCGATATTATGACACGATTTGAACAAGCGATCTAGAGGACTCACATATGCCTGTGCCCAAAAAATGCTTTTCCGCCCTTCATGAAGTGATGCAGTTCATTAAAATCGTAATCCAGGAGCCTCTACGCTTCTTCGCAGAATCCAGTCAACGCTCACAGTGTGTTCCTCATAAATGGTCGCAAAATAATTCCAACCGGCTAGCTCGGGTCACCACCCGCTGATTGTGAATGCTGTGAGCTTGAAAGACCAGAGGTGGAGACCATCAGCGCTGGCAGGGGAGCTTGACTGCCTTGGGTCACCACGCGTTTCTCAGGAAGTGGCTCGTCCTTCATACACGCCACCTCCAGCACGTTGGTCCATTTGCCTGGGTCACGTTAGCATAGATTTAGTAGTAACGAACTCCAAAAGTGCTTACCCGATGTGCCTTGGTGACTGTGTTTTAGGTGTTGGCGAAAGTGATCGGCCTGGCATGAAATTCTTAGTACGAGCAGTGGAGTAAAACATTTTGAGACGCAGCGTACCCGAAAGAACTTCTTAGCCTGATTGCATTCGCCAAACTTGTGGACATGGTTGAGATGCTCGGCACGCATATCCCACTGCGGTGGATTCGGAAACTCGTCGCCGCAATAGCCACACACATCTCGACCGTTACCGTTTGTGGAGGCATGATATGCAGCTTCAACGCCAGCAAGTGCAGCGCAGGACCAGCTATGCCTTCGAAGGTGGAGGGAGTTCTGGTGTCGTTCGGCCTCGTTCTTGTTTTTGAAGCTAGAGTGTCGCATGTCAGTGTAAGGTGCAAGCTGGCGTCATTGCGGGACGAAGCCTACCGATTTGGACAATAAGCGCAGGTGTATTGTTTCTCCGACTCGTGTAGTCTCAGCTCTTCCTCAGTATCAAACTTCTTTGGCTTCTTCGGACAGCATTCGCAGATATAGGTGCCTTGCAGGTGAGTAACGGAGCCATTTCGAGAATGAACAGCGCTCTCGACAGGGCTTCTTTGCTGGCCGCCCTGAGTGCTCTCCGACAATGTTCTTTGATGAGAAGGATGAGCCACGGCAGGATTGGGGCTCAACGCCTTGTTGCTTCCATATGGCACACATATCCTACCCTCAGGGTCGGGTGCAGGCGACAAGGCGCCCGGAGAGAGCCGCCCTGATCCATAGCTTGTGGCACTGCTTGGTATGCTGGCCACGCCAAGTGATGATCCTAGTGATCCATGTCGCGGAACATAGGACGAGGCTGAGGAGAGCGAAGAGTGGTTTGGATGGAATCGAGACACGGGCGAACCCCGTGGAAGTTGCTGAATCGACCGCCGGTGGCAGATTTCACTGTAGCCTGTTGATGCGCTGCTGACAGATGAGCGCTGCTCGTCCCGTGCGTGATCGCGTGGCGGTGAAGAAGCTCTTCGTTTGGTTCCAGCTCTCGCGTATTCGTCCGATGTGTGAGAGCCAGGACTCCGGTCGTGTCGGTCATGTATGTTGAGATTGCTCATGGGACCGTCTTCCATGGAGTCTTCGTGGACGTACATGGACTGATCATAGCTCCCTCGCTGTGAGATGCTATCATCAAAGGTCAGACTGCTGTGCCGTGTCTGACTTTGCGAGTGCGGTGCTGGTGGACCGTGCTCTGACCAGAAGCCACTAAATACTGGAGAAACCGCGCCAGAAGAAGGCCATCGAGTGCTGACGGGGGAATCCATCGAACCCTGTCGTCTCTCAGGCATCGAAAGTGGCCGCAATTGACTGCTTCGCCGCTCGCTCTCTGCCTGTGCAAGCTGTGCGGTGTCTTGCAGGCTTCCAGTGTATGATGAAACAGACGTCCGCTTGGGCGTTGGTGGGCCATTGCTGGGACCTCCAATGCGACTCAAGAGCTGCTTGTCGTACGTATTTGAAGATGCTTCCAACGTGCGTTGCTCAAGGTGCTTCTCACCATGAAGTCTGTAATCGAACAAAGTTAGCATCGCTCATGCGCGCGCGTAGAGAACAGTGCATGGAGGTGAATATGTATAAGGATCAATAGTGCTTCTCAGGCGCGCATTGTTCGAAGAGCTTGGTAGATCAACGTGTCGGTGTCGGAGTTTAGGTTGTGTAATCCTCATGATTCATTCAGAAAAGCGGCTGTGTCGACTCTGTCTAACCAAGCACAGAAATTCGACTCCGACCAGGGCCCGCTCTCAATATGAAGCCTTCACCATGTATACGTTCAGCCGAGCCGAGCGATCCGCTTGCGGCGCTTGCGGAATAGTCAAGCTGTGGTAGATGTGGGCGTTTGGCACAGTTCCAGTAAAATGCAGCAGTGCAGATAATGTATTGTTAGTGGTGGGTAGGTCAGCGGTAGCACCGTTAGACGCCAATGTCGTGGCCCAATCGATCGTAGGGCTGTTGGCGTTGTGTCGAGTATTGTGCAATGATTCAAGGCGATAGTGGGACGCAGTTGATGAGTGGTGGGTCGCTATGGCACATGATGTTTTGATAGGCACGGGAAAGAAGCAACAAATGTTGCAACATACCTGTAGTTGGAAGGTGGCCTCGACAAGCTGCCGTCCTCATCGCTTGGGGTCAAACTCCCCGCCTCGGCCATGTCGTGGTCGCGGGTCAGCGTCACAGTCGAAACCGAGCTCCCTCGCCGCAGACTGTCAACACCTCCATTGCAGTAGTAGGGAGGGCACTGCTCTTGCTCTTTCTCTTGTTCGTACCTATTGATGAGCCCCTTCATCACTGCTCCACCAAGCAGACTGCTCCCAGCTTTCACAGACGCGGGCCGTCCGAAGTCTGAGCCATTCGGATCGTTACCCCATTGCCAGCCTGGGTCGTGCTGGCCTGCGGCGAGATGTGGGATAAAGGCAGGCGGAGGCAGTGGCGGTGGAGGAGCCTGGTGTGTCCGTGGTATGGCCATTGGCGCTGCGGCTGGCGGATAGCGGGGTGGGCTGTGAAAGCGTTGGTGTTCGATGCGAATGGAGGGCGTGCCTTGGGACATGATCTTGACTCGCGGCGACTGGCAATCTCAGATGCGGCGCATGGGGAGCGAGACACGAGCTCCACTGCCACTGCCCCTGCCACTGCCACTGCCACTGCCACTGCCACTGGATAGGGTGCAGTGACAGGTCAGGCAGGCAAGCAAAGCGCAGTGAAGGCAAGGTGCAGCAGCACAGTCTGTGGTGGCAAGGCGTCTGTACTGCACACTGCACGCGGCGGCGGTCGGCGAGGGCGAGGGCGAGGGCGAGGGCGAGGGCGAGGACGAGGGCGAGGACGAGGGCGAGGACGAGGGCGATGGCGATGCAGAGCAGCAGGTGGGTGAGCAGAGGTAAGCTGGTGCAGTCAGGACCACGTACCGTGATCATGCGAGCAGGGCGAAAGTGTGTGTACGGCGCATTGATTCGCTCGTCCAGCCCTACCACTGACCCAGGCAATGCGACTCGAAGGAGATGGGCGTGCCGCTGCCGGTGGCAGGTGGATACAGAGAGAGCTGGTGCTCGCCAGTCTGCTGGCTGCTGGCTGCTGGCTGCTGGCCGGTGGTGACTGGCAGGCTACCTGAGAGTATTTGGAGAGGCACAGCCACAGTGCTCGAGTTGTACCAAACGTGTGCTAGGCTAGGGATGGGCCCAGGCCCCTCGTCCTCGTACGACACAGCGATGCAGTGTGCGCCGTTCGCTCGATGCACTCGCTGCAGTACTGTGCGCAACCTCTCTTCATCCTAGCCTGTTGGAGTCTAGCAAACACAGCGTGCACACCTCCAGCGAACGCCAAATAATATCCATATAGGCACGCTGGCGGGACCCCTAATTGGAATTGATGCCGCTTCTGGCGCATTACGCTAGCGCTTCTGCCTATAGCTACGAAATCAACAGCAGAGCTCATTGTATGCATCAGCGGGTCTCGTGCTCGAGCATGCAGTACTATGTTCTTGGTGCCATCTTTCTATACCCAGGCGGAGTGAACGGAGACCACCCAGTGACCAGTCTTAAGGCTTAGGGTATACTGTATACCGTATGTATGACATTACACATCTTGCTGGTGCCGGCGAGCCTCTGAAAATAAAGTTTTACCATCCCTGCCAACGAAAATGACAGTGCCCCTGCCAAACAACTGTAACAACATCACTACTCCCATACCAAAAGCCACCATCACCGACGACATCGTCCGCGGCCTGCTTGGCATGGCGCTTCTCGACAGAGTTCAAGCAGACTTGGACTTCTACATCGGCGGGTGCGTCCAAAAGCATTTCCTGCAACGCCCCTCCCCCATCTGATCATTTTGTAGTCTGTTTACGTTGCGCCGCAAAGAAGCGCTGCACGACGCCGGAATCACTCATGTGCTGTCTATCCTAAAATTCAAGCCCGATGAGAGACAATTCGCAGGCTTCACACACAAAGTCGTAGAAGTTGATGATGTTGATGACGAAAATCTGCTGGAGCATTTCGAGGCCACCAACAAATTCATTCAGGATGGACTCGATGCCGGCGGCGGAGTTCTCGTCCACTGGTGAGTTCTCGGCAAGCTTGCCCGTCTCCTTACCATGCACGTTTCCCTTGCACACCCTCAATCGAAGAAAGCTTTTGTGGCCCTTTTGTACTCTGCGCAAGAGCCCACCCGCATCTGGTGCCACCTGAGAGCATTTGCTGTACTCATCCGCGCCTAGCCCTGATCATACTCATGTTACGCAAGAACTTCAACAAAAATTTCCTATTGCCTGTTTGTTCTCAACATATACCAACTGTTTTGACGATGCAGTGCAATGGGCAAGTCGCGGTCCGCAACATGTGCGTGTGCCTATCTGATACACCGATATGGGATCAGCCCTGACGAGGCATTGGCGAGGATACGTGAGAGCAGGCCACTTTGTGAACCGAACGAAGGCTTCTGGAAACAATTGGAGCTGTACCATGAGATGGGCGCTCCTGACAATGTCCAAGACGTCCCTGCCTATCAACGATGGGTATATCAGCAAGAAATTGCTTTGAGTCGTGCCTGCGGACAGGCTCCTGAAGCAGAAAAGATCAGGTTCGAAGACGAACACTCCGGAGGCGCTGGTTCTGCGGATTACGAAATGCGCTGCAGGAAGTGCAGGTACGTTCAAATCCTCGGCCGGCGTTCACGCTGTAAGATGCTAATGATCACAGGCGTGCATTGGCCACTTCACAATATCTAATCAACCACAAACCCTGCCAAGTGCAGGATGGCACTTCTGGTCCCGAATCGAAGGCCACATCACCTGCATGTGCGCACTACTTCCTGGATCCACTCTCCTGGATGCGATCTGAGCTTGAGCAGGGCAAGCTGGATGGTCGCCTGGAGTGCCCGAAGTGCAAGACCAACGTTGGAAAGTATGCGTGGCAGGGAATGCAGTGTAGCTGCGGAGATTGGGTTGTGCCTGGCATTAGTCTTGCAAAGGGAAGAATCGATGAGGTGAAGTCGAGAGCGCAAGGTACCCGGGAGATGGGCATTCGTCTGCCACCATCAGCTGGCAGCTGGACTGTTCCAAGACGAGAGAACTTGTGAGACGTCGCGTCATCACCGCATCTCCGCGCTCCTACCAAGTACGACGAAGCACTCCGCCGGAGACCCTTCAATGCCATGGATAGCACGACACTTGATGACACTTGACCCTGATTTGCGACGATGCGACCAAGCCATTGGCTCAGATACATACATCTGTGGTACATTTAGCTTCGACAGCTTGGCGAATTGGATGCTGACTCATGCACTTCGACGAAAGCAGTGCCCATACAAGTTCGCCACTATTCCCACGAAGACACAGAATGCTGGTTATCGGCGCTATGGGCTCAATGCCGTCCCAGTCGTTGTTAACATAGACCTCGTTGGCATGGGTGGACTACGCTAGATTTCTAGGCGTCTGACAGCTACAGTGGTCACAGCATGCTGCAAGCCATTAGGACGGAAGCCACGCTCCGTTGAGTCAAGTCGTCCGGTCATGTTTCCGCACGTCTTCGACTTGCTCCAGACGTTGAACACTTTAGCTCAGGCTGCATGTGCGTAGCACACACGACGTATGATCTTCTGAGTTCTGGTCTGGGAAAACAATCAGATCTCAAGTCAAGTCAAGCACCAGCATCATGCACCTTTGCCTGATGTTATTGCTCGCGCAGCTGCGTAGACGCACTCCTCTGCCTAGTAGATAGCAAATGATCGACAATGAACTTTTCCCGACTCTCCAGCTGCGCAGATCATCCTCGACAACACAATAATAAACACTTCAACTTCTAAATGACGACCTCTTTCCCTTCATTACATGGATGCTGCTTTTCATTGACTTTCGGGCCTTCTCGCCACCTCGAACTACCTTGTGCAGAGCCCCTGGCGCTTGCCCGGCCTTGCCAGTACGACCTGAACTCGGCTTCATCAACATCTGATAGCCTTTGGCAGACGAGTCTGACAGGAGCTCTGCCCGGGGAGAGCGGAGAAGCAATTTATCGCCTCGTAGTGGCTAATCATGTTGAGATTTTCCCAGACGTCTGAATTCTCCGGCAATAATCACCCTAGTGAGTCGTGACAGTCAGCTCACGTTTGAACTGCAAACATCCCGGCCTTTTATTGCATCTGCTTTACGCCTGCCACGTGCCTGCTATAATTCGCGAATCTTGCTGCTTCTGCTGACTCTGAGACATTTATTTTACAGGTCAGCTTTTGCGCACTCACGACCAGCGACAGAGCACTGCGAACATCGTCGTCTCCGTCAAAGCCTCCTGGCCAAGGCCTCTCAAGAAATTCATATTTGGAGAACGCCTGGCGCTTTCCGGGACATGTGCCAGCTCGAAAGCACAAGCACACGATGACGTCTTCAACATACCTCCTTCTCTGTCAGATGTGTGGGGCCTCGCCACAATTCTGAACTTGTTCAGTTGCCCACCCCCACCCCACCCCACCTTCCGAGTCCAGGTGGCTGATAGGACCCACAAGCAACTCGAAGCCAGTACTATCACGTACAGCGCAGTGGATTACTTACGTAATACTGCCTTGCTAGCGGTTCAATAATGGCTTCGTTAATTGTCTATGTTCCCCTTATTCTATAGTCTAAAATATAGTATAAAAATCCTTCTTCTACTAAGAGGACACGTATTGTTATATAACCGAGCTTATACGTTATATACCCCCTTAGCTTGTGCAAAAGGGGTTCACCTTCCGTTTTAGGCAAGGTAGTTAATGCTTCTTTATATACGAACAAAAAGAACAAAAGAAAAATTAATCTTTTTATCTTCTTATATAGTGCTTTACTAAAACAACAAAAAATTAGTTTAAATCTATACTATATATAAGAGAGTCTTATTTCATACCCCGATTACCCTAGAAGGATATCGTTACATAATCCGGACTGCGTATGCACCTTTATATACGGTCCCTATTACTAGGAACTATTGTCTTCCTATATAGTCTAAGTACAGACCGATACTATTAAGCCTTATATAAGAACTCGTATCGTTAGTAAAGTTAGTTTAGCTAAACTAAGCCCGTTACATTATTACTATCGGTTATTATATTAATCGCATAGGTAGCGTCTATTTAATTAGATAAAGGATTAAGTAAGATATATATTAGTTAAATAGGTTTAATAAATTAGGATAGGTAACTTAACTAAGGACGCTACCCTTAGCTAAGACTACTGCACTATTATTACTAGCACTAATACAATCGCCGTAGACTTGTTATTAGTTAGTAGAAGTAACTCTCGAAGTAATAATATAGGCGATAGTAACATACCCTATAAGGTAAGGTTTTCTATACGGTTGCCTATACTATTTGTTTAGTCTATATTAGAAGGTAAGGTTGAATTCTTTGTTCTAATTGGCCGTCGTTATCGTATTAGACACTTTTGTTAGCGCTAATCGATAGAGGTATATTTAATTAACTTAGTTATAGTTAGTAGAAGGTCGCCCTATTAGTAGAGGGGCGCCTACTAAGTATTATATAGAGTTGTCTTCGTATTACTAAAGAGGAAGAGGTTGTTAGCGGAAGAGTTGCCTCCTTATATATCCCCTAGTGCTAGTGTTAGTTTAGTTAGTCTTAGCTGTTTAATAAACCTCTTCTAGTTCTACGGGCTATAGAGCTTTATTAGTCTATCGGCTAGTATGTCCTATATTATAAGGTATTTATATTGAATCCTTCTAGCCTTATATTCTTGCCTTAGCTAGCACTAGTAAATGTCTATATAACGGAGCTTCGTATCTAGTTTGCTAGCATTAGCTTTAATAATGCGGATAGTCTATATATTGTTATAGTACAGTATAGGAATGCTGTCTAAGGTAAGGCTAATATTATTAAAGAAACGCTTCTACTAGATTAGTTCTAAGCCTGCATGTAAGGCGGCTAGCAGTTTAGCCTTAGTCGTAGATTTAGTAACGGTTGATTGTCGTGCTGCCTTCCAATCGACTAGTCTATTAAACAGGCTAAATAACTATCCTTCTAACGACTGTCTAGTGCCTTTATAATCACTATATAATGCATTAGAAGCCTCGTAAAACTTATAAAGCTGTTAGCTTAAATAAGCAGTAATCGCTAGTCTATTAGCGTTATATTCTAAGTATAGGTACTTTGTCTAAAGTAGGTATTTAATATACTAATTAGCTGCTGCTATATCCTTAGGTCGTAGGTTCTAAAGAGCCTTAGATAGTAAGGACACTACCTTAGCAATGTTAGGCCTAGTTTGAACTGCTACAAAGTTAAGTGACCCTATACGGCTTTAGTATGCTAGCACTGCTAATAAGTCTATATATTAAGTCTCGGTGGTTTTCTCGTACGGCTCGTATCTAGTTAGCAATAGTACCTCTGCTCGCCTACTAGCCTTAGGATTAATTCTATAACGCTAACCTATCTTCTCCGTATATGCCTTCTAAGACAGCTACAGTTGCCTAGTAGTACGGTTTCGCTTCACCTTAATGCTAAGAAACTATAACAGTTGTCTAAGGTTATTAAGCTCGTATTCCTTTATTAGCTTCTACTTAAGCTCTATTGCTTTCTGCCGATATTAGCGGTAATATAACAGTACTATATCGTCTATATAGAAGAAGATAAATACCTATTTATCTAGGTCGGTATATAGGCAGTCTATATTATCTACTAGTTATATACTAAGCTTGTTCTCGAGAGTAGTTGTAAGATAATTATACTATAACCTTAGTAATTCCTAGAGACTATATAGTGCCTATAGTAACTGTAACACCTTTCCTTTCTGTTTAAAGCCTTCTAGTAGCTTCAAGTATAGTGTGTAGGGTAGGCTAGCATTTAGGAAGGCATTAATAGCGTCTATTTGTTTAGCCTCTAGGTCGAAGGTCGAGGTAATTACTATTAAGGCTCGGAACACTCTTGCTGCTAGTATAGAAGCATATATATCTAGGTATGTATTCTTCTGTAGATTACCCCTTGCGTATACTCGTGCCTTGAATTTTATAAGCCTTCCTTTAGTATCGCCTTTGTACTTAAACACCTACGTAAGTAGTAGTAGGTTATAATAGTATTCCTCTATATCTACCTACTTAAATGTATTGGTCTTTAGAGCCTTGTTGAATTCTACTCTTGTAGCGTGTATCTAATACTCTTTAAACTTGCTCTTTATAACTTAACGCTAGTTACGTAGCTCGGATAGTAGGTCTACTACCTTCGGAGTAAGGGTCGAGTCGTCTTTATTACGAGGAAGTAGTAGTAGATCGATATCGGCTTGCTCGCTATTGCTATTGCCGTATATTGACCTAGCTTCGTACTCTACTACTATATATAGGTTGCTAAATAGAAGGAGGTTTCTCGCTTGTTCTCGGTCGCTAATATAGTAACGGCCGGCTCGGTAGATAGCCGCTACTCGCTATCGTTTGTTTAGGTTGTTAACTCAATAATGCGGACCTCCTATATTTAGTAAGTAACGATAAGATATATTAGCGGCTTTAATTAGCATTAGCAATTTAGCTAGTTTAGTACGTAGCAAGTTAAAGTCTATATTATCTGTATAACCTAGTGCGTCTACATTATTAGCAGGGTCTTTATTACTAGTATCGTTCTTAGGTTGCTAATTAATAGTTAGTTCTACTAAACTATCTAGCACGTTATTACGCGGCTATAGTGCTTCGCGTAGATTAATTAGAAAGTCTTGTTTCTATAGCACTTATATAGGCTAAATCTTAGCTAGTGCTGTCTTAGCTAGTGCTGTCTTAGCTAGTGCTAGTAGTAGTTAAGGTGGATCTTGTCTAATAGGCTTATCTGCTAGCCCTATAGGGTTAACTATTATAAGTCGACTAGGACCTATTAGTATATCTACCCCCTTAGCTCTAAACCTAACAAGGTCTAGAGGTGTATCGTATACTTCTCGAAGTTCGTTAAATTGATGCTCCGAGGCTAGTGCTTATACTTCTTCGAGATTACTATATTCTTCTGCAAGCTCTTAGTTATTTATAACAACGCCTAGGTCGTTATTATAGCCGTTATAGAACTTAGTCTCGTTAAATACAACGTCTCTTGTTCGTAGCACTATTATTCGTAGACCCCGTAGTAGTTCGGGTTGGTTTGGTTTGGTTTACTAAGCCGAAACTCTAGTTTGGTTTAGGTTGGTTTGCTAAGCAACTATATAAGTAGCTAGTTCGAACTATATAATTTATCGGTTTTTAAGAAGTATACGAATGTATACGTAGCTTCAAGCAAGCCCTTTATAAGACTTAGCAGTATAGCCGGTAGCGTAGCCGGCATTTTTAGTCCTTAGTACTTATAGAATTTTCGAATCCTACTTAGGCTACGTAGTTGTATAAAGGTACTTATATAACCTCAAATCTATAGACAATTAGCTAAGGGCACTAACTAATCAAAAGTATATATATATATATATAAGGCATTATAGTTCAGTTC